ATTATTGTCAAATTTAAGAAGAAATGTTTAATTTTTGTGTGTAGTACATTTTTCAACCACCAGATGGCAGTATAAATAAGACTGTTTGAACAAAAGGATGGATAGTGAGGGAGCGAGCAGTGTGTCTCTTTAAGAAAAATGGGAGGGAGGCCCTTTGACGTGACATGGGCTGTGTCTCTTTCCTGTATTCGATTCTAAAAGTGGCGGATGCTCGGTGTGGCTTGAGCTCTTTAGCGTAGCATTTTTCACACAAAGCTTTTAATTAAAAAAAAATCAGTAACAAGTTCTCTGCTTCTTTTTGCAGAGAAAAACAACTTTTTACACGAAGGCGCGGGTTTCAACCGTGAATTTTGGAGCTTCGACAAGACGGCGTTTTTTCCCCCGAGGTTGGCCTGTTAGCTTAGCTCGTAGCTTAGCTTCTTTTAACGATCCCAAAACACGATTTTGGACGGTTAAAACGGATTTTATAGAGAAAGGGAGGGGTCAGTGAGCCTTTTGTCGTCCAGTGTCTTCAGTAGAAAGTGAGAGACACGAATAAACGATAAAGCCGATAAATGAAAATAAGGTTGATAATTTTAATTTATCATGCGATTAATTGATTTATCGTTTATCGCGACGGGCCTAAATGTTCTACAAGGTCTTTACTTGTCCGGATCGTTGCATGAGAGTTTGGCGTGCGATGTGACGTGTGCGGGACTCTTGTTTAGGAAATGGAGGAACGGCGTCACGAAGACGTGGCGGACACCGACTGCACTTGGGTCAGTCACAGCATGCTGCAGCGTGGACGAAGAGACAGTCAGGACAGAGGAGATGGAAAGACTGGTGAGGACCCCCCCAGATAAAGGCTGGTATTTATGAAACTGACATTAAAACTAATTGAAAAGAAACTGGAATTTAAAATCTTGCTCACTACCTCTAGAACAGCACATTTAAAAGTTAATTTAATAAAAGATAGATTCATAAACACGTCAGAGCTCGTATTTCTGTGGTGCCACTGAATAACCTGAAATCTCATTCTGACTGGGTCCCCTCTAAGATTAACGGTAGATATCTTGGTAAAATAAAAAAAAATAAAAACATCTAAATTTAATTTTGGACACGCGCTGAAATGGTTTTTATGAAGTTCGGAGCTAAAAGAACGATCGTCGAGTCTTCGCAGGTGAATGATGGCATCGTCTGCGTACAGGATGACTTTTTAAACACGGGCTCTTCGGATCTCGATCATCCTTTAGTTAAATGTGTGAACGCCTGAAATTCACTTTGATTCTCTTCAAGGACTGGCTGAGAAGGCAAACGACAGTTTGGACATGATGTTTGACACGACGGCTTACGGCACGTACAAGTCGTACAACGGGTCACGCTTGGACCAGAGCCGTCCTGGTGACGAGGCTGGGGAAGAAGAAGAGGAGGAGGAGGAGGAGGAGGAACTCAGAGGTTTGTGTTCAGATTGATTAATAGTGAATTTTACGTCTTTAAACTAATTGTTCTCGTTTGTTTCCCTGAATTAGAAGCAGATCCTGCAGAAACCGCTGCACGTCTTGTTAAACCAGGGTGAGGAACATCGCTGGTTAACGTCCACTTTGTTCATATTCTAAGAGTTCCAGCAGCTGTTTTTAATAATCTGAACGTTTATGAAGCGTTCTCTCTACTGTGATCCAGTTTTCTTCTGTACGTTTTTCAGCATCTTTCTCGTTCCACAATATAAAAACGTTCAGCTCTTTCAGGACAATCCTGCTATGACTTTTGGTATTGGTGCAACTTTAGCTTTTTGAAATATTTAGCCTTTTCTGTCACTTTTCCTTCTCATAGAAAATGAACTGAGCTCATTTTACGTCCTTCAAATCTTTACGTGTGTTTACAACCTTTTACTGCTGCTTTCACATTTTGTTCTGCTTCAGCTTCTTTCAGCTACCTTATTTTGTCGGCTACTTTCAGCTGTTTTTAATCTATTTTGTGCTCCTTTCAGATTCTTTCTGCTAACTACAACATTTTTGTACTACTTCTAATGTCTTTCTTCTAATTTCAGCTTGTTGTGCTCCTTTCAGCCAGTTTCAGCTTTTTCTACCATTTCAGCTACTATTTAGCTGTTTTATGCTAATTTTAGCTTTTTCAGTTAATTCCACTTTATTTGCACTCATTTCAACTTTTTTCACCCTAATTCAGCTAAAATGTGCTCTCTCCACTTCCTTCTGGTAGTTTAAGCTTCTTTCTGCTTTTTTTTAGCTACTTTTCAGCTGTTTTGTTAATAATTTCAGCTTTAGATAATTTCCACCTTTTTGTGCTCATTTCTGCTTCTTTCAGCCTAATTGGGCAAACACGAGTTCTTTCTGCTTTCATCTGCTAATTTAAGCTTTTCTAACTTTTCAGCTAGTTTTTAGCATTTTTAGCTAAGTTCAGCTGTTTTCAGTTGAATTTGTTTTTCATGGTCATTGCTGCTACTTTCAGAGTAATTAACTTCTTTATGCTAATTTCAGCTTGTTATGCTCTTTTCAGCTATTTTTATGCTAGTTTCAGCTCATTTTGCTCTTTCAGCTACTATTTACCTGTTTTCAATTCAGTTTATGTATCTAGCGCCAAATCACAACAAAGTTGTCTCGGGGCACTTTACAGAAACATTCACATACATAAAAAAGCCAATTAGTAAAGTTCTCTATCTAAGGAATCTTTTGATGCCAAATTTAGCTTTTTCAGCTAATTCCACATTTTTTTGCTCATTTCAGCTCTTTCCGCATTCTTCTCATAGTTTAAGCTTCTTTTCTGCCTTTCAACTACTTTCAGCTTTTTTATGCTAATTTCCTAACTTCTGCGCTCATTTCTGCTTATTTAAACCTAATTCAGCTATTTGTTCTGTTTTCTTCTGCTAATTGAGGCTTGTATTCTATTTCAGCTACATTTCATTTCTTTAGCTATTTCAGCTGTTTTTCAGCAAGTTCTGTAATAAGCATTCACACTGCGTTTTCACGGGAAATGCACTTTCTCTGGTTGTTTTTTCTTCAGGCAGCCCACATTTAAATACGCGGCGGTGATTCGTAAGAAGGACGAGAGGAGGAAACTGAAGGGCACCACCTGCATGGAGTGTGAGGACGTGAGTGTTCTGAGCCGGAGCCGACGTGTTTTTATCTCAACCTTTAATAAAACAACTCTGGGTTTCCTGCAGTATTACTCCCATCTGCCCGACGAGGAGAAGCAGAAGAAGCTGGCCGCCTGCTCCCGGCACCGCTTCCTCTACGTTCCTCCCTCCACCCCTGAAAACTTCTGGGAGGTTGGGTTCCCGTCGACGCAGACGTGCATCGAGAGAGGTAACCGAACCGCCTCCGTCTTTAACTTCCCTCGAGGAACGACGGCTTTGAATGAACGCCCCGCCCCCCCCGTCTCTTCCAGGCTACATCAAGGAGGAGAAGAAGCCCCAGGCCCGTTTACGGAGGAGACAGCCGTTTAACGCTTTATTCTCCCAGAAGCAGAACGACTAAGACTCTGGTTTGTTCCAGATGTTTGAATGAACAATGTGTGCCCC